ATTGACTTAAGTAAGGATTTGGGATGGTTTTAGATATACTTAGGACTCCTAGGAACAATTTTAAAAACCAACAAAGGGAGTGGAAGTGGCCGGTACTGAAGCAGATGGTCGAAAAAACGTAGCTGGAGGAGAACAGAGGCTCAGAGGGATGAAGAGCCGGCTCTGGGGATTGAAGAGCCGGCTCCCATCATTCAAGAGCCGGCTCCAAGAAGGCATGGAGCCGGCTCCATGCTTGCAAGAGCCTGCTCTTGCATTTTAGAGCAGGCTCTCTCCTATTTTGACGTATTTTAGTGTTTTCTGATTTTCTGGGCACTGTTTAGATGATTTTAATTCTTTCGAATTGTGTTGTGAGGGCATTTGGGTTCTTAATTTAAACTTCAAGTGTATTTAAACCTCTTATTGCATAGTTTATACATTTACGCTAAAGTGTTAAACAGTAGGAAAATAGACAACTTTTCAGTACTGTTAACGGTTGGAGGAAAGTTAAATTGCGAAGTTTAATTCAGTGATTGACGGATTATAAAACCCGTCATGGGGATGAGTTTGGGTGTAAATAGGATTCTTAAACTCAGTATTAAAGATGAACCGAATGTTGGGAATAGCCGGAGACGAAGCTGAAAGGCGAAACGGAGCAAAACTGGACAGAGGAGGCTCTAAGCCTTTAAGAGCAGGCTCTAAGTTTTTATGGAGCAAGCTCTAAGTTTCTAGAGCAGGCTCTAAGTTTTTATAGAGCAGGCTCCATGGTGTAAAGAGCCTGCTCTATGATTTTCAAGAGAAGGCTCTTTGGTTAGGTTACGTTTGGTTGCAATCTGGAGCTATCCGGGAACTGTTTGGGCTATGTTTGGAGTTCTAAATTGTTTTAGGGAGTGAACTAACAATTTTAAAAGTAATTTCAAGAGATCTTAAGCTCTCTAATTTCATAAGTTAGCCTATTATAGGAAGGGAATGATCAGTGTGAAAATTAGACAATTCACATACTGTTAACGGTTGGAAGGGAAGTAGTTGTTAAATTTTTAAATGGGTGACTTAAGTAATTATAACATGATTTTAATCTTGTTTTAAATGCATGTTAGGGTCATTTAATTAATAAATTTGATCTGTGCACACTCGGGAATATAATTGCTGAATTAATAAACCCGTTCTGCAATTATGTAGATTAAGGATAGGAAATTACTTGCTTGTTCTAATATGGCAATTTAATGAGTTATAATATGTTTCTAATTTTTGTTTTAGATGCACAGTAGAGTCTTTTAGTTAATAGATTGGACCTGTGCATGCTTTGGATTTTTATATTGCTGAAACATTAATTTTCCTGTAATTACATGAGTAAAAGGTTTGCTTTAAATTGCTGAATTATTAGATACACTTTTCTGCAATTAATTGGATGATGGTTTTCAACTGGATGATGGTTTTGGACTTAAATTGCTAAACTAAAACATAGGTTTTGTAATTTACATGGGAGTTAACCTGGACTTAATTGAAGAATTAATTGCATATTTTCTGTCAATTATATGAATGGATTCTGGATTTTAAGTTGACGAACGATTAAGTTTTGTCTCATCAATTTCATGGATATTGTCATGGATATTTAGTTGATAAACTGTTCTAATTTTGTTTTATCAGATACATAGATTTATGTGAACTGTATTTGGTGTACTGATTGAGTTAATGCATCATTTACGGATCATATGCATAGTATGTACCGGTATGGGACGGTGACATACGGAGGGACGGATTAGATCAAAACGCTAATTCCAACCCATTCATACATACGGAATGGATTAACTAAAACAGTTGAATCCTATATGGTTTCATGTCCTGTCAACTAAAACAGTTGAATGACATATTGGATGGTTGTTTATATTTTCTGTTAATAGGAAGGATAGGGATTTAATTAAAACATTTAGATCCTAATTATATGTTGTGTTTTGGCGACGAATAGTTGACCGGCTCAACATTGTTTTTGGATGGGATGTATATACGCTTAATTTATGTTAGTCTGTGTAACTGAATAAGCTGAACGACTAGCTGGATTTCTTATGGTTGGATAGGATCGGACTTTATATATATAATTATGGTACCGCGATTTGAGCTTGAGTCTCATAGTCGACGGTTAGGGAGCGTATATGCAGTAGGATGCATAGTTAGCTATGTTGGTTGAGGTATACCCTATTAGGCTTAAGTAGTCATGCCCACTCAGGTGCGTTTTTGCATGTTGTCTTCTATTCAGGTTGAGACCCTCAGCATAGTCTAGTGAGAGTCCTGTAGTGTGGTTATATGTATATATCTATTTACGGACTATATAGATATGGTTGAGACATCTAGGATGTATCTGCGTATCGAGTCTCTGTTTGGATTGTAGTTAGGATAGAATTTGTTCGTGGGCCTGACCCACTATTATTTTTCAGGTAACGGACGGTTTCAGGTCTTAGATCTTGTTCATGCTGAGCAGAGACGACTTCTCATTCTTCCGACGACGTAGGCGGTTCCTGTATGGTTTAACATTGGATTCTTTTTCAGTGGTTCATTTCTCAGTGATGATTTTATTAGGGGTCCACTAGATGGATTCCCGAGTTGTATTAAAAATGGAGAATTTGGATGTATCAGAATAATTCTTTATTAATTTAATTTTATTCTGAGGTTTCAGTATTTGGTTTATCATTTTAGTTTCTTTTTAGCAAATTTTTATTTATTCCTGTTTCCTTAATTGTATTCTGTGTTCGTTTATTGCTAATTGGTTTGATATCCTCGGGTAATCGGGCGTGGGCCTGGCCAACCCGCATCCGAAAATCCGGGGGTATCACAGGCATGAATACATCATTTAGTATCAAGATAGCATGGAATTTACGACATATGAAACAAACCTACGCCATGAACATAACAAATCTACAATCTAGCATGCTATAGTACAAGAATCACATAAAATACTCGCAATTTCCATTTTTTACTTCTTGTGGTCCCTTGTTCTTAGATCGTTATCTTTTTGTACCTTAATGATTTGCTTTGTATCAATAAAATTTCCCACATTTAAGGGGGAAAAAAAAAAAACTCAAAATGTGTGAGTTAGACGCCCCTACCTTAAATGATAAGCAAAGCCCTAAATGGGTCCAAGTTGAATGTGCACCAATCGGAAAACCGAGACCACCAAAATGTAGAGCTTGAAGAGCTCTTCAACTTTTCCAACTTATCACTTTGCCAAATTCTCAAGAAAAGGAGATGAAACCCTTGGTTTGAGCTTGCAACAATGGTAAGAAGAAAAGGAAATGAAGGAGAGGAAGGAGGGGGTATACGGCTGAAAAATAAGGGGACTAGTTGTCCCTCAAATCTACCACTCTCTATTTATATAGTCAAAGAGTTGGTGGGTTTGGGTCTCACTATTATAAACCCAGAATGACACATACGTCCCCATTTTCTCTACAAGGAGCTAACACACAAAATAAGGTCTCACCACATAAAATCAAGTACACCAACATGAGATAAAATAATGGAAATAAAGTCGGGGAAAATTTCCCGAACACAAAATCCTACCCGGGCCCACAAACCCAAAATGTCTAAAGCGACTCTAAATACATTTCTAAGTGTCCGAGACTTGAAGAAATGCTTAAAATGAATCCTGGGAACCATGGCACGCATCCTCATACAACGAAACATGCACCGCATGTGAAATGAAAAATGCGAAAAAATGAAAAATAAATCCGGTCCCCACATGTTGGCTGGAAGAAGCAGTACCTGTCGAAAGGGGAGCATCTAACTCTTATGAAGAGCACCCTTTCGAATCTTCCAATTTATTTCATGTCCCTTATTCTAATGCCTATCTCAATTAGGAGACTAGAGAAGATCCAGAGAAACTTTGTGGCGTTGTATGGGAGATGAGTTTAAATACAACTTGATGAACTGGGAGAAGGTGTGCACCCCTATTCAGATAGGGGGCTTGGTAATTAAGAGGCTGGAGTTGTTCAACAAGGCGTTGAGCATGGCTTTGGAGGTTTATACGTGTGAGGTTCGGATTGTGAAGGAATGTTATTGCTTGCCAATGTGGGGAGGGAGATGGAGGGTGGTTATCTAGGGAGGTGAGCTCCCCTTCAAGGGTGGGGGGTTTTGGAAGCTCATTTAGAAGGCTTGGGATAAGCTTTTCAAATGCATTCGCTCCAGGGTTAGGAGCGGGAGGCATGTCAGATTTTGGGAGGATCTCTGGTGCGGGGATACTGATATGTCCCGCTGGTTCCCACAGCTTTTCAAGATTGCTACGAGCAGACACACATGGGTCGCCGGCTGTTATCACCTTGATAATGGAAGGATGATTTGGGATGGGTGCAAATACGGAGAGAGTTTCATGATTGGGAGCTTGCGGAGGTAGTAGAGTTCTTGGCAGTGTTATATAATTTGGTGATGGAGGGGGAGGGAATGGATGAGATGCTTTGGATGGATTCCCCGAGAGGGGTGTTCTCAGTCCGTTCTATTTTGAGTTCTTTATTCTTTTGGGTTAATGGGCGAAATTGTAAATCTATGGGGGAACTTGTGATTTTGTTGATAGTTTGAGATTATAGGCGGACGTGTTTGGCCTCCTTGTGTTTTCTTGGGAGCGCTCCCCTATTGAGCACCTTTTATTGAATCTTTACTTATAAATAAATAAATATATATATATATACACACACACACACACACACACAAAGCAGTATCTAAAATATTCCCAAGATATTTCTAGTCCTCAGATATGTTAACTGGAGGTTGAAGAATTTTGGGTCTGTTTTAAGTCAAAATTATTCATTTACTTAACCGGTCCCTGATGCTCAATTTATGTAATTGTAGACACATGTTCTAGGACCTCAAGTTGTGTAGTTTAATGCCGAAACTGATATCCCATATCTTTTTTTCTCTCTTTTCTTCTGATGATGACCAGGATTTGCTTCCAAAGGATCTAGTCAAGTCCATGTATGTCTCTTTCCTTGCAGGATGCTTCCGTGCAATACGTTTTGGATTCGAGGAAGCTTATGGGTAAACTTTATTTATCCTGCTTTAATCCACTGCATACTGTTGACTTCACCAAGCATTGTAATTCACTGAATATGATCAGAAAAGGACAAGCACTGCAGTTTAACTGGTTATTCCAGAAAGGAGCTTTTATTTTGCATCCTGATGAAACGTTTTCTGTTGATTTTGCTAAGGTATAGCTTCTTCAAATTTATTCTTTATTGAATTATTCTTTTCATTTTGAAATAATAGAGGCACAAATTTTCTTTCCATTTTTTTTTTTTTTTTTTAAAAGGTTGAAGGTGTAGTTGAAAGCTTGAGTAGGGAGATACTTACCATACAGGCAAAAGGTGACAAAGACGCAGCGAAAAGGCTTCTTGATGAATATTGTATACTGACACAGCCGTTGAAAGTTGCGTTGGAAAAGTTGGAAAAGATTCAGGTGTGGGCTTTAATGTTTATTAGTTGCTAATGCATTAGTCCAGATTGAATTGGAATTGTTTCGAATGTGGAAGATGACATACCTCATCTATAAAACATAAGTCTATTGCCACAAAATTGCATTTCGCAAGGGGGCTAGTTATTTGCTTAGACTCCCAATGTTTGTTATTCGTAGTGAGAGTTGATTATGTAACTCAACATGTCATTCGACATGAACTCGGTAAGGCAAGTTGGTCAGTTTTAGAATCTGGTGATATGTCTCTTCTTTTTTCCCGCTCATGTCCATCATTGTGAATGTGAATCCTCAAACCAAAAGGCTATAATAATTTTCGGGGTATCCAAATTAGTTGAAGTCATAGTAAGTTAGCTATAGGGGAACTTGTGGCTAGATTGAATCCTTCATGATGGAAACGCCCTCTTCCCCCAACCAAGGGAAAATACCTACTCCTAACAAAATGAAAAGCAGAAAGCTCCCTAACGTACAAAAACAAAGCGAGGCACGCTGGTAGTGGGGATCCATTTTTCAGCTGGCATCAAATCAAATCTTGACTAATAGAGGCTAGACCCTAACATTTTTCAGCTGGCCATACCACTTGTGTCCTTAGAAAAAGAAATCCCAGCGAGGTCTCTGGCAGCCAATCCCTCTCTATTTCTATTTCTCGAGCTATTCTCTCTCATTGTTGTTCAACCAGTACTCTCTCTCTCTCTCTCTCTGTGACATTTTCAGTTTATTGTTTTTTTTTGTCTCTTTCTTCCTTAGCCACACTTCAACAGTCCTAGGGCTTTATCTCTCTTAAACTTATATATGTAGATGGTCATACAGTTGGTAAACCCATTTCCCACTTTAGTGGGATAGTGTGTTCGATGGGCAAACTGATAATCCATCAGTTTGCTTCACTTAATATTTAATTAAATTTTCTTCCATCTTATTATTCTTACTTGATTATTCTCCTCTATACCCATGGGATCCACATCAATTAATAGAAGGGTAAACTACATTTAACCCTCCTTGACTTACAAACCCCCCCCCCCCCCCCCCCCGGCGGGGCCGCTCAACTAATCCTGGAGGATTGCTTTTTGAATTTTTGTCAAAAATACTCCCACCAACCAAGTCAACGGGTGTTTTAATGCAATTTGCCCAGTAACTTGAGCTTTGTATTTTTGTTTTCGTTACATGTATCATTATACTTTGAATTAAAGAAAAATATTTAAAAAAACTAAAAAGTAAAATTCATAGTTATGAGTGCAACTACGTGCTATTTCTTTAGCATATGTCTAGCATAGTTAAATCTTATAATATCCTTTTTTTCCTTATTTTTTTCTATTAAAAAAAATTATAGAGAAAAGCCTACTATTTTATGCCATTTAATTACTTTTTGTAATTAAAATTCATTTTTGTTCATTTATTTTTTTGATCAAATGTCCATCTCATGTATATATATATATGTCCACATTATATAAAATCAAAAATAATATATATATATATATAATATATAATATGGGTAACATAAAAGATTTGAACGTATATGTAGTTGCACTCATAACTATAAATTTTATATTTAAATTCTTCAATTAAAAGTACAGTGATGTATGTAATAAAAAAAATATAAGTTATAATACTATTATTCGAGAAAGGAAGATAGATGCTAGTTATTTGGTCTCATGCACCCACCTTTCTTTCCTACATGTCACAACTCTCTAGCTTTTCTTTTCTTTTTTCGTTTTTGAGATGGATAGGAGAAGTTATATCCTTCAAACTTTATATTATATGCACAAACACATTGATGGATTCTTACCTATTTTCTAACACCACCTTTAAATTAACCATTCCTTAGTTAAACTTAAGTTTCCAAAGTCGATTTAATATTGTTCGGCTCCTAAAAACCGAGGTCCTTTCCAAGTGCAAAAAGGAGGGTGAATGTCGGGCGTGCCAGGAACTGCTGTCGTTCCAAAGTAGATATCCGAACAACTATCCAGTATGAAATTGTAGGGATCAGGCGATTGAATGAAGGATTGGAATTACAACCTTCAAAGGTTCTTTTTGCCTTGTAAAAGGACTTTTGGGATGATCTATGGCTAGTGGAAAGGAAAGCGGTATTGAAAGTGCATAACTTCAAAGTAAAGTGCTGAAAAGTAGGAATAATAAGTGCAGGACTTGAATTAAATATACTGAAAGTGCATTACATGAATGTAAAGATATATGAATGTAAAGAAATTAAAGTGTTGTTGGGCTGTGTGATTTGAACAGGATTTTCAAGTGAAGCATAAGTGCTCTATTTATAGAGTTTTCCATGCATATAGTAGCTTGATGTGGTAGCTTCAGCAGCTTCCACGTGGCCAAATCTCGGACTGCCATGTGTCCCATGATCTTTTAACCTTCTCTAAATGTTGCCAAGTGTAAAACCATGTTCTCCCATGACTTATAACTGATAGATAGTGGACTTGGTGATTGAATACATGCTTGCAAGCCTTCTCCCACGTTCTGGAACTGTCCGAATGGAAAGGCAGCAGTTACCGCAGCAGTTGAAAACTTCCACCTAGAAGGCCTGGATCTTGCCACGTGTCCCATGTCTTCCTTAGTCTTCTCATAGTGTTTACACATGTAAAAACGTGTTCTCCCATGATTTATAACTGATAAATAGTGGACTTTGGCGGTTGAATGCATGTTTGTAGGCCTTATCCCACATTTTGTAACTGCCCAGATGGAAAGGCAGCAGTTGCAGCTGCAGTTGAGAAATTCTATTTGGAAGGTCCAGATCATGCCACGTGTCCCACATTTTCCTCATCTTTCTTTGGTAAATGCATCATATTTTTAGCCCACTTTGCTGATTTTTAGCAACCTCTTCACCTAAATAAGGCAAGTGGTTGCCTTATTCTTGGAGTGACTCTTACAAACTAGGAGATATTATAGGAGTGGGGGAGTTATCATTCTTGATGACTAGGTCAAAGGTACACATGGCTTTCCAGATGTTTGCCACATGTCCCCTTGGAAAGTCCACGTCTTTCCAACTGCAGATCTTGTACCAAATGGTTTCATTTGATGAAGCCACATGTTGCTTCATGATTGCGCTTTTGCATATTATCTTTTCAATGGGATTGGTCACGACAAACTTTTCCAGCTGGAAAATACTTATGGTGTAAACAAATACAATTTAAAATTATGTTTTAAATGTATAACCATTTTCATAATAATTTTTTAATTTTTTTTTTTAATGAATAAGCAGATCTTCACATACCTTGCATTTCAAGCCTTTCCACCTGACCATATTTTTTGGTTCTCTTTTTCTCTTCCTTTTATCTCATTAATAAAAGGATAAGAGGAACCCTTAATCCCACATCTCCCTTTAAATGTCATGCAAGAATTTTTTAATCGCAATGCCTTTGGCAATCCTGATCTTCTGATTCGTAAGAGAATGTTCCTAGCTCAGAGAAATATTTAGTCAATAAAAACAATTCCTTGGAAGGGGTGTGTGTGAGTATCAATTAGGAAAATATATATATATTTAGCCACTAAAAAATGAGTAGATAAAGCCTTCAATTATGCAAACCATAGAAACAATATTTACAAATTATAAGACTGTGAACAGTAAAGATATTGGGTCAAGACTTTGTCTTGTCTTGTGAAGGGAAGCCTCCTGAAAGCTAAAACTAAAGCTAGTACTCCGATCCCTTTGCTTGTGAACAAATGCATGTCAAAAAAAGATAACATTACTGTTTTGTTCAGTAGGAACAAAAGAAGAGGGGTGGAGACAAGATAGGAAGGAAGGAACAAACTTCCTTCGTTTGGTAAAGAGGAGACAAGAAGAGAAAGGATAATAGGATGGATGAGTCATCCTTCCCCCTTTACAAATTTTCATCCCTCTAAATATGGGAGGAAGAGAGAAGGGAAGACACGTTGGCCTATTATTAAAGTTTGTAATTACAATACTATGTTCCATAAATTACAATACTATAGATAGTGATGGGTATAATGGTAAAAATAATTTAATACTCTCTCCTAAACGCAGTATTCTGTGAGCTTATTCTCTTCCATCCAACAGAACAAAAAAGAGGGAAGGACACTGTCTCTTCTGTAGGATGTCTCATCCATCCCTTCTTTTCTTCCTTCCATCCAATTTTTTTCTTTCCTACCAAACAAAGCATACAAGTTAGAGAATTTAACTACAGTTACAAAGGACTTACCCCTGCATTATAAAGAGGTCAGATGACACGAATAGCAGCTGAAATAACTTCTTCTAATTTGTACACATTGTCCATAAGAAGAAACATTTAGATGATCTCAAAAGATTTTAAGTTGTGCTGTTGCTTCATCATCCCGAATTAATGCCTCAGTGAAACAAAAATAAAATAAAATAAAAAATAAGAAGTCCTCCTACAGCAGCAAGATAGACTAGAATTACTCCAAACTCTGTCCGAGCTTGGATTCTAAAGAAAATTTTGGGACTAGCCTGAAGAAAAGTTCTTAATCTGGTAAAATACTAAATAATTATTGTTTAAAGACTTCAGCAATGAAAAAATACTGTTCCTTTTGTAATACAACCAATAATTACCTCTAATCTTCTCTAAACAGAGTTTAGAATCCCCACTCAACAATAATAACACCTTTGATGTCTTTGATTTTTTCATGACATCATTAATTGCATCAATCCCTCCAAGAAAACTCATCCCCTAGTTTAGAACTTTCTTTCTTACCTCTATGGTGTTGATACAAATCTAAAACATTGAATGTAGGAACAATACCCAAGTGTTGTACACATTTTCTCCAATCTTCTTGATGATTTGCTAAGGTGCGATCTTCTTTTTTGCTGAGTTTGGAATAAGAGTGAAATGGAAATCGCTCCTTTCATAGGTAAACCATCAGCATTTCTTCTTCTTGAAATCTCTGGAAACACCTTTTCTTGTCTGCATACTCCTTGCACTCTGCATTTAATAATTCAATTTCAAGTTGGCTACAACGGAAAATTTTCAAGGAATTGTTTGCACCCAAGAGGTTCGACGAGGGATGGTGTGTAAGTATCAACTAGGAAAAAAAATATGTAATTCAATTTTAAGCCTGTTTTGATCGTGCTGGTCCTTCTTATCAGCCATGATTTCACCATTCACATTGTTCTTCCCAGCTTGTAGTATATGAGCCATATCATAAAATGAGCTGGTTTTCTTGCATATACTATTTCAAGGAGACTTTTGTGGGTATTTCGATTCTTAGAGTAATTATATGCAAATTCAACTTGTGCAATAATAGCTTCCCACTGCTTCAGATTCTTGCCTACTAAACACCTTACGATATTTCCTAACTTCTGTTGATGACTTCTATTTGGTCGTCCGTTTAAGATGGTAGGAACTACCATAGTGCAGCTCAGTTCCTAATCTTTTCTACAAGGTTCTTTTAAAATGTGACAAAAAGTTGGAGTCTCGACTGATAGTGATTGTTTTTTGCACTCCATTGAAGCGAACAACTTCCTGAAAGTAGAGATTTGCAAACATTGATGTATTCATAGTCTTGCGCAGCAAATTAAATGAGCCATCTTAGAAAATCAATCAACTACAACAAAAATAGAATCCATTTTCCTTTTGAGTTTTAGGCAGTCCCAACGCAAATCCGTACTAACATTCTTTTACGATGCTAAAGGAACCGGCAATGGTGTATAAAGGCCGGTATTCTGGGCTCTTCCTTTAGATTCTTGACATTTTTTGCACCTGTCAAAAAACCTGTACACATCACGCCTCATTTTTTGCCAAAGTTACTTCTACTCAATCATGGCACATGTCTATATCGTCCAAAATGTCTACCCAAGCCGCATATCTAGAATGATTGCCTTCCGCGATAGTGTTATTCAGCGCATGGTGTCAGAGAGTTTGCTTCTCTTGTCTTGTTCCATCTAAGTGTTCTCGGTCTTTGCAGGCAGGATTCAAACCCGCGACCACAGTCAGTTTCCCGCCGACCTGCTCAACTTGAAATACGTTAGGAGGAATTCCTGAAGTCCGCTTCCTTTTATGAGAATAGCTATTTGAATTGATCAAAGGAAATTGGGGGGCTTGAGGCGAAGACTGACCGTCTTCTATATGTGTCTTGGGCTAGTGGGAAGAGATATCCCTTCTGCAGTACATGTTTGTTGTCCATTACTAAAAAGTACCCCAGGTTCAGCCAAAGTATGGATCAGTAAGATATAATTCTTTGAAAGATTCAAATCCAGCAATGGTTGTAGACATAATATAGCAATATGGTCCTCATGTTGAGAGCATCTGCCACTATATTGCTAATTCAAGATTTATGTTTTACACAAAAGTGAATTGTTGGAGGAAAGAAGCCCACTTTGCATGCCCCTTCTCAACTTCTTTTGGCTATTGATGTGAGAACAGAATAAACTCATGCTGAATCAAATAATTTTGCCAGTGCCTTAAGTTGGACAATTGCATAAACCTCTTGATTGCAAGTGTTGTATCTTCGCCTTGTATCTCAGATCAAATCCAAAGTTCAAATCTCTGTAAATGAAACAAATTAAAGCACGGTAAGGATAAAAATAATTGGTACAAAAGAAATTAAGGAGTTAGACTCGGAAGAAATAGTGCGTTTAACTTGCATTGACTTTTGTTAATCTTTATGAACAAAGTATTAAAATATGTGTGAAAAGGTAATTATCCACATTCTGTTCAACAGAGTTAACTAACAGGGAGGCCAATGTTATTTTTGAACAAGTGGATAAGTTCCTGTAAGTATGACAAACCTCAAGTTAGGTAAGCGTAATTATTATTGCCGAGGAACAAAATGTGCACTTGTATTCGATTATTGCTCCCTTAGTGGTGTCATGCCATTTCTTTCCAGTGACAAATGTTGAATGTGCCCTTTGGCAATGGCAACTTTCTTTGTATCAATCTATGGGATGAACAGTTGATGATGATGTACAACATCTGTTCTTGTTCCATCACATAATAAATGAATAAAGGGAAAAATCAACTCCTTAATTCTGAACAGATGATAATTTTATGATGAAATAATGAGGGAGCTTACTATGTTTTTTCATTTCATTATGTTGCTATCTATACTATTAACAAGATATATTTCTTCAAGTTCCAAGATTAAATTCCCTCACTACATGGTGAACGCTGCAAAAGCCAGTAGGAAAGAAGTGGAATATTCTGACTGTGAGGCTCAGTGGGCAGGAGCAGGCCTGTGGGAGGCAAGGCTCTAGTGCGAGCTACGTGTGCTCACAAATCTCATTTCACCTGCGTGTAGAAAGGTGGAGTGCTATATGTAAGTTCATCACCCTTCTATGACATAACGTATTTTAAAGTCACGATGGCCGTGAACATATCAAAACTCTAGAGTTGAGCGTGCTTAACTTGGAGTAGTACCAGGATGGGTGACCTCCTCGGAAGTCTCTGGTTCGGGAGAGCTAAAGGCGGATAATATTGTGTCTGGTGGGGTGTGGGAGGATACTCGCTTTGGATACTTTTGACAGATTCATTATCGCTTTGGATACCTTTGATAGATTAATTTTTGCTCTGTTTGTAAACAAGTTTGGTGGTTTTGGTAAGAGTATCTACTCTCTTTTGGAGACGTTTGAATGCACTACTTTTGGCATTTGCATTAATTAGTCGAGTTTCATCTTAATCAGTTTCTTGTTCATGATATTGATGATGATAAATTGTTAGAAAGAAAAAAAAAAAAAAAAAAAAAAAAAAAGGTAATTTCTCATTCAAATCAGCTTTGAAAGATCCGTAGACCTCTTGCTCAGAAGGTTATATGGCATTTGTTAGTTTGAAATGCATGCAGACCAAGGATTTCAGTTTGAACTTTCCTTCTTCTGCAGAATTTCATTCCTTCGTTTTTTTAATCTGAGGAGGAAAGGCTTGCCTATTCCCTTTTTCTGCCATTATTGTTACAAGGGAGAAGATTCTGTAGACCAACTGTTCTGGTCTTTTGTCTATGAAACTCAAGTGAGGGAAGGATAAAAATCCTCTTTGGCGCAACAGTATATTTGTCCCAGATAATGATTTGGAATACACGTAAGGAAAAGATTGGGATGTACGTTAGGGAAATGTTATAATGTACGCTAGGAAAATGTTGTGATGCAAGGCCATCATCCCAACATTTTCGTAACATGTATCCCAAACCATTCTCACCGGCTGTGAAAGATTTATTGTTGCGCCAGAGAAGATTTTGATCCAATGAGGGAATGGTTGGTTTGTTCAGTTCTGCAAATGGTTTATTACTCACTCTGCAGCCTCTAATATGTAGTCTAAAGCTTAAAAGGTGCTTTTTTACTTGCATTATCTGGTGTTTGTGGACACACAGAAACAGAAGATTGCGCTCTTTGTCATACTCTCTCATCAATTAGTCATATTATCATTAAACCTTTCATTGTCAAATCTTTTGGCTCTCTACAGAAGTTTTCTTATATGTTCTTGTAGTTTTTTAAAAACTCTTGCATTTCTTTCCTTTTGTCATGCCAATGCCATGGGTATGCCTTGGGCTTCTTTTGTGTTTTTTTTTTTGGGTGGGTAGTACTACTTGTTCTTTTGGAAGTGTAATATCATTTTCATTCAATAATAAAACCACATTCAGGAAGAACAAAAAAAAGAATAATATTAGTTATGAGAGAAAAGAAAAAAAAAGAAAAGGATGGTAAGGTTCCTAATCCCTCTTTTTCTTTTCTTTTCTTTTCCTTTCTAAATTGTCAATCAAATATGAAAATAGCTATTCTTCTACTTCATTTTTCCTTTCTGTCCCTAGTTGGGGTCTTCCATGAACTTAAGACCGTCAAATCGTATGATGATCGTTTGACATTGGGTGAACCATGAATTGTTATTGAACTTTATGGATCATAATTTTGATTTACCTGCTCAGCATATTATAGGTACCATTTCTGGTTCAATTTGGAGTGCATGATGAGGAGCTTTTTGTAGTTCCCCTACCTCTCCAGGCAATCAATTCAAACGAAAGTTTGTAACAATCCTCAACTAATAATGTACAAGTGCACAGCAGAAATAGTGATTGTCGTTGTTTAGAGAGCATGAAAAGATCCAACTATGATAGAACTAAACAAGGAATGCATGAGAATGTTTGACTGCATAATGGACAGCAGAAAATTCGCAGTTGCTTTACGTGAAAAAGTACGAGAGAATTTCAAATTTTATGGTATTAGCTAGTATCTCCAAGAATTGCAAACCATTAGTACACAGTCAATTCTAGACAACTTTAAGTTCTCTAAGCCATGCTGTGTGTAATGGACATGGATCTGGCTTCCCTTCTTGACTTGCCTTCTCCGAGAGGGAATAGAACCAACCATTTCTCCATTTGAACTGCAAGCATTGGTGGCAAACAAATGATCAGGAAAAAGAATCACTTTGTCGATTGAATTCTAAGGAATTTACAATTTTTACCTCCTTAACAGCTGTTGGGAAGTGGCTAACGGCTCGGGAATAAGCACATAATCTATCCTCCATGGCATCTTCAAAAACTACCCCTTTCTCGGCTGCTGCTGCAGATGCAAGTTCAGCAATGAGGCTTGACACCTGACAGCACAAGTATCAGTCACCCAGGACAATCAAATGAGTTTTGATTCAAATCATATAGAAGGGACATACCAAATCCAACTATCAAAAATAAGACAGCAAAATCCAACCAACCCGCAACAAGAATTTTTTTCTAATTCATTCCTCATAAGCTGATGCCTATAAACTATACTTCACCAAAATTGTCAAGGCTCCATGTTTACTACAACAACTATGCTTAAAAAAATAATAATAATAAGTAACTGCAAGAATGAGAAGAAACAAAACATAATTGTGGAAAGTACTTCAAGTAGTACAAGAACTAACTAATGTGCCAAGACGGTAGGTCATAATAATCCATGTGAAGATGCATGTTATCTAAATCCCATATGAGCAGGTAGTTATTTATGTTCTACTATCTGCATAATCAGAATTTCAGTTCACTAAGAAAGTATTACAAAGGATTCAGGATTCTACATCTCACTTTAGTAATTAAACTAGAAGTTTGTACCATTTTGAACTAAAATTGCATCAACCATTGCGAAAGCTGTATAATGCCCCAAGAACATATTATCCTTGGGATTAACCTTGTTCAACTGAAGCCTATGAAGTTTAGGCCCATATCGTATCCATGCGCCTTGTCTACTTATATATTTTGACACTTTCTAAACATATCCATAATGTAAAAATGATTTTTTAAAATTTTTAATTTCAAAAATATATCTGATATTTCTCAATTGCTTCAGAACACCTGCATGAAACACCATCATAATTAAATATAACTTCTCTAAGTATGATACTATGATTCCATAACATAATTGTTAAGAAAAGCAGGAAAGTTTCTGAATACTTAAGACTTTCGTTAAAATAAAATCTAAAAATAAAAAGAAGGATGAAGAAGAAGAGGAGGAAGTACTGAGACACATTATACCATGTCTAATTTAGCCCAAATTTTATATTCATGAAACATAACTACCAACTTGTTTGTCATAACTCCTTTAAGAAGGAATGTTAGTAATAATATACATATACCATGACAGTATATTATTATTGTAAACTTATATATAGAATCATATATATTAATCTAACTCATCCACATAAATACAGTATGTACTACATGCATATGTATATATGCATATGTTAAGAAAACCATAGCAAGGATTCCGAATTTCAACTTTCTTAAAAAACGAAGAAGAATTGAGATATTTGTATCATATTCAAAGCTTATGTTTATGAAATATTAATATCACCGCCAAGATATATACCCTATACGTATCTCCTCTACCTCCAAAAAATGGGAGATGAGAGTTCAAGTCTCAATAGTGAGAAATGGGTGTGTGAGTTTTTGCCAATGAAAAAAAAAAAGAAACATTAATGTTGTCCCTTCCATGGAAAGGAAGGCCCCTAAGCACCCAACAGAATGTTGTCGAAGGATCACACCCCGTGGCACGATCCTGACCACGTCCACTCATCCATCCCCTCCCCACAAGCATTCTGTCTATAGAAGAACGGCAGAAAGTCCACGACATCCTCCACCAACCAATCTTGCAATGCCTTCTCGAACTGCACATCGAAAGACACTCTCCCATTGTCAAGATGATAGCATTCGGCCACCATCGCCAGTCTATCCACAGCAATCCGAAAGAGCCCAGGGAATACCCCCTCCAAAGGTCTATCCCCACACCACAGGTCCCACCAAAGCTGACATGTCCCTCACTGCTCACCCTAAAACGAATGTGCTTTAAAAAATCATCACAACCCTTCCGAATGAATTTCCAAAGTCCTACACCTGCTCAAGCTCTCACCTCAAGCGTGCACTAACCCCCTCTAGCCTCCCCGAATTAGCATTGAATTACCCTCCTCCACAAGCTCTCTCTCTCAACCCCAAATCTCCACAACCACTTGCCCAACAAGGTTCTGTTGAGCAAATTTAATCTCCAAATGCCCAAGCACCCTAATTGGATAGGTCTACAAATCTTATCCCATCCCGCCAAGTGATACTTGAACTCCTCTCCATACCTACCCAAAGAAAATTCCATTGGAACTGCTTGATCCTCTTTGCCACCGATGCGGGGAGAGGAAATAAAGAAAGGAAATAGGTTGAAAGACTCGATAAAGCATTCTTGTCGACCCCTTTCAAAAGATATTGCTTCTTCCAACCCGCAAGCCTCCTCTCAAATCAATCTATGAATAGAGTACATAAAGTTGCTCTCCTCGATGACACGCTTTATGGGAGACCCAAGTCAGTCAAGGGAAATGCCCCAACGCCACAACCCAAGATGCACAACCCAAGATGTCAGCCATAGAGTCAATCCCTCCCACCTCCCCTACAAGCACAATGTCACTCTTCCCAAGATTGATCTTCAACCTAAAACAACTTGGAATACATCTACACACACCTCAGGTATCTCAACTGGGAAGCATTCCCATCACAAAAACAATAGTATCATCTGCAACAAAAGTTGCAATATCTCCATCTGACTGAGAAGACCCCGACCCACCCTGAAGCCTTCAATCCATCCCAGCTCAGAAGTCCATCTCATCAATCTGCAAAATGCCTCCATGACCATAATAAAGAGGAAATGTGATAATGGGTCCCTCAGTCTCAGCCCTTGTGAGCTCTTGAAGAAGCCAATCGGGACACAATTCCCCAACATTAATAATCTTACTGTGGAAATACAATAGTAAATCCGACTCCTCCAAGGCTCCATCGCTCGCCAAATCCCATCATCTCCAAAATATGCATCAAGAATGTCCAGCTCAAAGGAAAGAGCTCACAGTCTTGCATTCAGCTAGCAGATTACATTCCACCTTCTGCTACATTTTCTTTGCAGATGATCTCATGGTGGCCCGTAAAGCATCCATCCAAAATGTTAGAACTTTAGCTAAGATTTTTAGGATTTTTGAAGAACTAACTAGTCTTCAAGTGAGTCCTCAAAAGAGCAGTGTCTTGTTCTCCAGAGCTGTCAGGAGGAAACATGCTATAGTAGACATCTTACAATGCAGTGAGAATAATTTTCCTATTAAATATCTAGGCCTTCCTTTGTGTCCTACTGGTTTGAAGAGATCTCATTGCAGGGATCTAATTGATAGGGTCTCAAGGAAAATTCAGTGTTGATCCACAAAGCTTTTATCAACTGCAGGCAAGACAGAGCTTCTCAAGACAGACATGATAACCCTTATTTTTTCTTACTGGTGTAGCACTCATAATGTCCCTATGGTTGTCATAAATCAACTCCAGAAGTTGTGCAGGGATTTTTTATGGGGTAGCAAAGAACATTCTAAGAAAATGCATCTATTAAGTTGGGACATGGTCACCGAAACCAAATAGGAAGGAGGTTTAGGATTGAGTAAATTGGTGGACATCCAAACTGCCTCCAAATGTGGTTTGGCATGGAATTTCTTACCTAGCAAAGATGGACTATGGGTCTCTTGGTTCAAACAGAGGTACATCCCTCATTCTACCTACTGGAATGCTATCCCCAGAGCTTCTCATTCTGCTGTTTGGAGAGCTATGGTGGATGTTAGGGACCTGATACTGCAGAAGGTTAGTTTTCACATTGGGAGAGGCTATCTGGTGCAATTGTTTTTGGATCCTTGGTGCGGAGGATAGACTTTGGCCCAGAAATTTGGGCATAGGATGGTTAGGAGACTCCCATTTCCGAGGAAGTCCACCTTGCAGTGCTTGTTGGTGAATGGGGAATGGAATTTGCAGGTGCTGCAGGAAGATTTCTATCAACCTTTTAGAGAGTATGTTACTACAATGGAGGTTCATGGTGATGATGACAGGTTGCTATGGGATGGTGGCAAGTTTTCATTTAAGAGAGCTTGGCAATGTTGTAGGACTGCTCTAGAAGAAGTTCAGTAGCATCATTTATGTTGGGGAAAAGCAAGGCCAAGTTGGTCTGCTACATCAGTCTTTGTTATGCTAGATAGGTTGCCATCCATGATTAACATCCAAAGAAGGAAAAACCAGTTAGCTCCTAGGCGCACTCTGTGTTACAGAGGTGTAGACACCAGAGACCATCTATTTGTAGAATGCAGTTTTGCTCGAACTTTTTGGTCTTGGATAGGAGTTGTTTTGCACTGGGATATGTTGGCTTTTGTTGAGAGGTCCAAACAGTTGGGGATTTATTCACTTGGTGTAACCACTTGTACCACGATTCAAAGACACTCAGAAGTTTTTTGGTTGCTGTTCTATGGGCTATTTGAAGGGAAAGGAACTCAAGACTAGATGGGACTGGCATGTGCACTCCTGAATCAGTGGCTAGACATACCCTTTTGGAGGTCTTGGATGTCCAAAACGCAAGCCTACATGATCCTATCTTCTTAACTTTTTTTCTTTCTGCATTTTGTTTTGTATTGGAAATGGGCCCTCTCAATACTTGATAATTAATCTTTGTGGCCTTGATTTCCCATGTACTAAATGATTATTCTGAGGGTATGCTCTATCTGCATCTGTACTTGAATTTTTATGCTTTAATACAACACCAATTATGAAAATAAATAAATAAATAAATACAGTCAAGCTCACATAGTTGTACGCCTTCTCCATGCCTAGCTTGCATACTACCCCTGGAACTCCACTGCTAAGCCTAGCATCAACGCACTCACTAACTACCAAAACTAAGTCCACAAACTGACGGCCTCTAACAAAAGCATTATGAGAACCCGAAATCACCCCATCCAGGACATCCCTCAAATGCAATGCTAGAACTTTAGCTATTAGCTTATGCATACTTCCCACCAAGCTAATAGGTCTAAAGTCCTTCACATCTATGGCACCACCCTTCTTCAAAATAAGCACATCTGTTTCCCACCAACAAGACCCTCTACCCCCTTTCCTTCCGATCAAACTCTGCAATCACTGTTAAGAGTTTGTTCTTGCGCCATTATAGATTACCAAGCACCTCCTTGTTCCATCTCTTTAAGTCTTCTTTCAACAACTGAAGTTTGTTTGTCTAAACAAAACTCAGAGAGCCCCTCGAGGAATACCCCTCCCACCATAACTGAACCTCGTTGAATCCCTCCGCCTGAAGCCACATGTTCTCAAATTTGAACAGAGTCTTCCACCGTCAGCCTTCCCCTCCCACTAGACGAAGTGAATGAAGCACCCTCCATCGACAAGTCAATCAATCCCTCATGATTAATAAATCCCGAGAACTGCTCCACGGCTGTAGACAATTGGCCTCCAGAAGATCTCTCTAGAGGAGATCTAATCACAATGAAATATATCTCCCCTTACAACAATCCACCCTAGAGACCCATCTCTTGTCCCACAAGAGAAGAATGCCTCCAACTGCCCCCAATAAAATCAGGAGCCTCCCACTGCAGAAAGCGACTTCCCCATAAACTCCTCACTATCTCCATAGAAGTCGTCGTCAATTTAGGTACCTGAAGACACACTACATGGGTACTCCACTTACATAAACCCCCCCTCCCTCAAAGGTCAACCTCGATCTATTACTCAGCTCCCTGATTATCCACCATCCATCTCTCCTCACCATCAACAGTAATCTGGACAGGGCTTGCCATCCCTCTCCCTCAAAGGTCAACCTCAATCTATTGCTCAGCTCCTTAATATTATCCATCATCTATCTCTCCTCACAATCAACCGTAATCTGGCCAGTCATTCTGTTAAAAATATGAGAGGGAAAAGGGAAGAGAGAAAAGGGAAGAAAACACGAGCATATACATAGTTCGACACTAAGGCCTACATCCATGGACAAAGAGCCACTAAGGGCTACATTTTTATTATTCAGAAATATTTTGCTTGAGTACAAAGAGCCTATATATAGGCACGGTAAAGATAAGAAAATATGGAAAGTGTACAATAGTCAAAGTAGGCACCGTGATTGGTGGAGGATTTTGCTCCACCATTATATACAAATATTTATAGTTGGAAGGAAATTGACCGGATCACCATGATTGGTGAAGGATTTTGCTCCATAATTATATAGAAATATTTATATATTTCAACACATACCATCCTGCCCCTCCCCCTGGCTGCTGCCAATGGTTGAGACAACCCCATTTCAACATATTCAACAAATTCACCCTCTTCCCGAACCACAATAGCTCTGTCAAGGTCAAAAGGATCATTGAGAAGCCTTTCTCCTTCATCCCTTTCATCCCCACCCTCTGAATCCTCCACTCTGTATTCAGTAGGTGTGTCGTAACATCCTTCAGATAGAGCGTCAATAATAGGAGCAATCTCAGCCCCGAATGGTCCGTTGTGTCCATACCACTTAACATCCTCATATCAGCCTTTAATGCTGCCACAGGTTCTTCTCTCAATCTCAATTGAATACCATTTCCAATGCACAAAGTAATCATTTTCAGAAATCAACCTATGCCATCGGTATCCTGGTGCTGTGTAGTAGGTAACGATCAACTGTCTTGCGTCATCAACTGACCCATCGTGCTTGATTAACCCACCTCTCTGATCAGCTCCAGCCAATTCTACCTGATCATCCCTACAACCACTCCAGGACTGCCAGCATAACCCCTTGGCCCCATATAACCAGAAGGAGTAGAGAGAGATTGCGTAATCAAATCTCTAACCTGATTTGATCTAGACTTGGACTTGGGCTACTGAGCCTCCTCTGGACCACTCCTAGCGGGCCATTTTTGTTTCTCTTTCCATGTCCATTTTGTTCTTGTGTCTCTATTCTCTGTTCTGGGCCAACTTCTTTCCCATTTGGGCCGTCATGCTACGCCCCATGACACCAGCCTCATAAAAGTTGAGATCAGGCCGAGATTGCATAAGCCCAGTGTTACTTCGTTTTAAGTTGTGTGTTGGGCCCAAGCTTGGTTGGACTGGATCTGCTCCACTCTTCCTTCACCCCACTTGCTTAATTCAGCTTGTATTTGTTTCATCTCCCTTATACAAATGGATATGCATAAACTATAAAATTACAAAAAAATAAAAAATAAAAATAAAAATAGGTCCCCTTGTTTTGTCATATAAATAAATAAATATATATTCATATATATAAAGGCATAATCCAATCTATGTACAATGTAACCCCCAAACTTAGGTTGAGAAAACAAATTTCAATATGAAAGCAACCTCCTTAATTCTCATACCTAAAATCACATGATCGCCTAATAGATAAGCAATAGTATCTTCCTAACGAATCAATCCTACTCCAATACATCAAGCAATTAGTGTATATCATAATCTTCTAATAAAAATGTTCATGCCTTCAAGTATTTGATTTAAATTTCTAATACTATATGCTATAAATCCAAATTTATTACCACAAATAATTGAGTTCTTAACACAAATATCTCATAGCCCTTTAAACCAATTAAACTATGCTAAAAAATTCAGGATTTTAAATTATGCATGAAAGAATCTCATTTAAAAACCTCTTCATCCAATCCAGTCATACCTATGATAATCGAAAAGACAATTGTGATGCAGAAAAAACATCTTTCACATTAATATCACCATATTGGTCAAGTGCTTGAACCCTAGAGCCAACTAAAAGTAGACAGTTATAGTCAGAAAAGCAGAAGCATTATGACTGTCACTATTAACCCACTGATTTATTTTGCAAGGAATAAGTGTCCATCATAAAGGCAGTATTCAAGCTCCTCGAAAGACCTTTATTTTTTTTTTTTTTTTGGATGGTAAAGCAAACACACACTTTTTTGCCCACGCCCGGGCTCGAACCCCTCCCCTCCTCTTTGAAGATGGGGAGGGCATACCATTGGGCCAAAGGCCCTTTGGTCTACTCGAAAGACTTGACTTTACCCAGCTAACTGAAACCTTTAAATTATTATTTAATAAAGTCCAGTTTCATAAAATCATAACAAATAGCAGATTTTTTAATTTTCCCCCTTTTCGGGTAAATGTAGATAGAAAAGAATGTGCCATGAATCCAATCTGACATTTTAAATAACTTTGACTAGCGAGGTGGCCTTACCTCGGAGCGGAACTCCTTCTCTACAGCACCAACAGTTGCCCCAGGATGACGGGCTCCTACAAGCATGAACGCTGATATCCATATAAGCTTCTCCAACATCTGCTTCTGAAAGGCTTCCTTGTCAAGAACCTGGTTTAAATCACCAAAATATGAATAGTACTCTAAAACTTGTCTACTTAATCCTGGAGAAGAGACTCATAATCTATATTATCAAAAAAAGGAATATGTGCCTGATACTAACAAATATTTAACCCCTTTTCCTCAAAAAAAAAAAAAAAAATAGTGTCATAGCAAGTAAAGATATGAAGGAAAAAATATACAACTCAAGAAAGAGAGAAATAAATTCCACTTGCTAGTGGAATAACGATGGTGGAGAGAGGGGGGGAATGAATTTATATCATTTTTTAGGACTAAGGGGAGAGCTACGAGTCCATTCCCAAATTCCCACTGGAACAGTTAATTCAACAATTAATCTCCAACAAAGAGGTAAAAGGAGAAATATCATGAAGTTACATCGGCATGCAATACGAATGCTGACATGTCCTAGAACAATTTAAATGAGATACCACAAACCATTGTTTGAGAAGCTGCTAAACTTCCACAAACTAAGTCTACCTCTGTAGTAACCACGAGATTAGCCCTAAATAAAGCTTCAGACCTTGCATATAAACTAATAATGACAACTATATATATATATATATATATATATATATAAAACTCATCCTTTACCTTGCAAGAAAGGCCTCCAGCATGTAACCTTGCAGCCACGGCAGATGCCCATTTTCCATAAGCTGCCGTCAGTCCCTCGGGATTGGTGTCTGTTTTCCCGTCAATGGGAGGTTCACCAAGCTTTGATACAGCAAAATATGCCAAAACTTGTTCTGCATCACCCAGACCTTTACTATGGAACCATGGCTCCAGCATTCCATTCTGGAAAAAAACCAAATCTGCTAGATTGTTAAGATCCATCAATCAAAAAACAACCCATCAAACTTAAACACAAACCGCATAAATCTTGCAAACATGGATACTCAAAATCTTACATCGCATTAGTCTTAAATAGTATCATGAAACTTGTAATTAAATTAAATAAGTTGTACTAATCTATGAGAAAACTATTGGAAGATTAAATCAAGTCATTCCAAGAGACAATATAACTCAATGCTCTGGCACTGCATAGAGGAAATATCCCATTAAAAGCTACACGTTAACCTTTAAATCGATCATTATCCAACATAATGTAATTCAAATAAATTTTTGAAAATTATGCTGAACACCATCACAGAACAGCAACATCAAATGTTAAATCACCATCAAACAACAGAATAAGAAGAACTGGCAACATTTACTCCATATTGATGACAGCATTACCACGAGGATGGGGGCAATTGTGGTTAGCGGTTAAATTTGGTCTCAGGAAATGCTTAACAGAATTTTAAGCAGAATTCTCATTCAAAATGAGGCCATAGTGGCATTCTTGAAAATACAATAGCCACTTGGGTCATTTTGGACTCGAACCCTCACCATCCACTTTGGAAGGTAGAGGAGATGGTTTAAACTTCCTCTAAGGTTGCTCCATTGTGACCTGGAAACAGTATCTCCGCATGCACATGTAAGGCTGCGTACATGTAACCCTCCCAGACCCCACAATGGCTGAAGCTTCATGCACTGGGTTTGCCCCCCTTCTTTTTTCCTCAAGGTTGATTGTGATGCGGGTATGCTTGTTTCTTCTTTGACCTAGTTCTTATGATGGTTATCACAACATCTAACCAAGCAATCCTATCTTATGAACAAAATTATTATATTATGTTCCATGTTTGCACCACCTGGTTTCTCCAAAATGATTTAGATTTTCATTGGCACTCCTCAAATCCTATGTCGCCTATTCATGTTTCTTTAAAACTAGCTAAACTCCTTTTCTCCCATTGGATTGGCCTTGAATGAAAGTTGTGCGAATTATGGCTCAGTCAGGCATCATCAGACATGTTCAGCTATAACGGATTTTATCTACACCCTAATCAGGACCTTAATCCCTGTCTTGCAAATAATTGAGTTTCCGTTTTAATTGTTGTGGTGCCACGTCACCTTTGGAAGTAGGGTGGTACCAATTGGGTAGTTAAAGATCATATAAAAATTTGTAGGATTGGCTCTTTTTCTTGATATCTATGGAGCTAAAATTGTTGCTCGTTTAGAAATGGTATTTTACTTAATATCAATGAAATCTTGTCTGCCAAAATCAGGAACTTAGTCCCTGTCCAGCAGATAATAGAGCTTCCAATTTAACTGTTCTGGTGGCATTTCAGCTTGTAAACAAGGTAGTACCAGGTGGGGGTCAGAGTTAAACTTGTTTCTCTGCTATAGGCAATTTAGTGAGTTGTTGAGCATTGCTTACATCATATTGCCTGATATAACAATTCTGCATCACGTGCATCTCAAGTGATACGCGATCAAGATATTACTGCTTGCCTTTCTTCTCATTGTTGTACCATAAGCTTGAGAAGTAAGCTTATTTTGAACTAGGCACAACAACTAAGCTTTAATTGCAGCGTCAGCGTCAGCACGAGGTCCTGCTCATATGGATTGGATGGCTTTGGCAACTGTGGCTATGGAAGAGTATTTGATTCATCCTCCGAGTCTAAAGATAAGAGTAATTGAGGTTTCGAAGCAATTTGTTTGTTTCTATTGTCCTTAACGTTCTCTATGCTTGTTCATTGGGCTTATTGATGTGATGGTTGTATAATTTCTACTTCTAATACTGTACATCATTACCTTATCAATGGAAGAAAATTTCTACCCAAATACCAAGGAAAAAAATTATGGGTAGTACAATTTCATCATAAATTCAAGAACTGAAAATTCAACTAGTACATTGCGATTGAGCGTGCTATATAATCAAGTGGGTACCTTTCCAACGAGAGTGAGGAGTGGACTGAAGGACGGCCTCGAGATCATCGTTCCTTGTGCAGACAAAGATTGGACCCGAAAAATCAAGCGGAACAGACTCGCCTCTCTTCACCAGCAAATCTTGACCGTTACCCATTTCCTGCAACGCTCTTCCGACTCGTCCACCGCCTACTATGACAGCGGCGGGTACTACCTCGGTGGCCATGGAAGTTGAAGATAAAGCCCTAACCCTAAAACTGAGCTTGACAATGGAAGTGGGTCTAGTGCATTGGCACAAAAGAGGAGAGCTAGAGAGAGTGAGTACACTAGCTGCGTTGGCCATTGGCTACCGAGTACTGTGAGGTCATGGTTTCTCTCTCTGCGTGTCTTTTTTTAATCAGATTTTGGGCCCAAGAAGAGAGCCACTCATTGTAGCATAGATTACTGGTCTATCCAAATTCCAGAACATTTAGGCTATGTTTGGTAGGATGGGTTTAAAAGGGGAGGATAACATTAGTTATAAGGGAAAGGGAACGAAAGGAAAGGGAAGGATAAGTTTAATCCTCAATCGTGTTTGGTTGATTAATGAAAGAAAAGAAAGGAAAGGATAACAATCATGTTTGGGAAAAGAAAGGAAAGGGAAGGATAATAAAAAATTTACTATTATGCCCTTTATATATTTTAAAAGATAAATTTTTATATTTAAATATGCAACAATATTTTTGCCCCAAGATTCGATTCTAAGGCTCAGTTTGGTAGCAAATGCCACATTCATCTTCTCTTTCCAAATCAATATTTCAAAACTCAACAACACTTAACTAATTTATGCAGTGGTATTGAGGCTAAGCAGCCCAACTCTGCCATGAGAAAATCTGCTCGTGTGCAGCTGATTAAGAATGGGAAGAAGATCGCTGCATTTGTACCCAATGATGGTTGCTTAAACTATAGTCTCCTCAATATAGTTTAGTGTAGATCTTCTTTAATGTATCAAATCTTATAAAAGGAGCCGGCTCAAGTAAAAGTGGAGGAGGCTCCAATATGAATGGAGCAGGCTCTACTTTAAGTAGAGGAGGCTCCAATATGAGTAGAGCAGGCTCCCAAAATGGGAGGCGGCTCCTTTGAAGAAAAATTGTTCTGGGAACCAATTTTATGTCATGTTAGGTGGCAGAAGTAAAACAAAGAAAAAGAAATGCAATTTACCCAAAAATAAAAAATAAATAAATAAAATGTAACTCACTTTTATTCCTAAAATGAAGTTGAAATAACATTCATACTCAAGAGCACAAATGAATTTTCGCTTAAAAGTTTGATTTCCTTCAACAAAAAAGATGATAAAATCAACAAAACAATAATAAAGTCAATGAAATAATCATATTGGTAAGTACTGAAACAATCAACAGATCGCATAGAAAACCCAATTACTAGATCTTCCTTCAAGCAAGTAACAACAGAGAAAAGTTAAAAAATGATCATTAATTTAATATTTAAATTTGGCTTCTTACTTTTTTGGGTGAGAGGGGTTTGATCACAAATGTAATCAATGATGATCAACAACATAAAACAGTAAGTTAGGTTCTTTCTGACTTTATTTTAAAAAAAAAAAAACTTAACAACCCAAGGCATGAAGTGGATCGAACATACAGATCCACCAATTTCTTGCAAATATTCAACTGAAAAGAACCAAAGACACCAAAAGATTCTATAGTGAATTATGTTTGTGCTAATTTCGACTAAAAATTAAGAGCAGGAATATATATAAATTGAAGAGGGAATTTCATGGATTTAACATACCAGTGAAGGAACCCATCATATGGAAGAATTCGCCCAAAGCAAGATGAAGTCTCCTAAGTCAGTTTGCTCTCTGGAATGTTTCAATAATGACCCCAAATTAGGAAGTGCCGAGATATAATGGGAATAGGACACTTGAAGGGAGCCGGCTCAACCATGATCATGGAGCCGGCTCTTATGGGTTTTTGAGAGGTGCCGAGTGAAATAAGAAGGATGTAGATGAGTGGAGCCGGCTCTTCCTTTTTGTGGAGCCGGCTCCACATTTTTTTTGGAGCCGCCTCAAGTAGTTGCTGGAGCCGGCTCTCTTGGGCATTTGAGAAATCCCGAGAGTTGGTGTATGCAGGCCAATAAAGGAGCCGGCTCAACCTATTTCTAGAGGCGGCTCTTCTTGGAGATGCCGTTACAAACCTTTCCCTTCTATCTCTATCATCAACTCCTCCTCCGGCACAGAGACCATGCAGTGAACCCATTTCCCCCTTTTCTCTCTCCTATTTCTTCTTATACCAGTGAATTTTGGCGCCTTTGTTCCCGCGCTGAATATACGCCTTCCTTTGTTCCCGCGCTGAATATAGGCCCTAATATGAAGAGCAAATTTGAGGGTAAAATTGGCCTAACAAATATTTTGTATGCCATCGCCTGCCATTGCCTTCCCTTTCCTTCCTTATCCTCCCAATTTTGGAAGGTTAAAAAATTACTGTAAGTTGCTTATAAATAACCCTCCAAACCCCTCCCTCTTCTTCCCTTTCCCTCCACTAACTTTACCCAAACACAATTTTTTATAACCCTCCGTCCCCTTCCCTCCCCTTTCCCTTCAAACCCATCCTACCAAACTGACCCTTAGGTTCAAATTTTTTGCAAGGCAGGCAATGTACTCACATGTATATTCATACATAGACATTTACGTTCATTTCAGTATATATACATCGATATAATGTCTTTATACATTTATAGTAGAGACAGGCAGCTCAGTGTTTCCTAAATTTGTTTGTTAATTACATTTACCTTCTTTGACGTTTAGAGAAATTATACACGGTTAAATTATTGAGTGATTGACGGATTGCTAATTTTAAGTGTAAAAAGTCAATAATGTCCTTATATTATAGTTATATATTATATTACAAGTATTTGTTAATCTAAAAACTCACATAACTTGCGTGTCCAAATCACAGAAGAGGCAAGTGAATCATGTAATACCCCTAGTTTTTAAAAGGATAAAATGAAAATTTAAATTTAATTTCTAGTGCATTTTTTTTATTTGGTTACTTGACTTAGGTGTTTATTTGCGTAATTGTCTAATTATGTATTTATTTAATTATTTATTGAATTGTAATTGTTTATGTGTTTTGAATGATTTATTTAATTATAATTATTTATTTGCTTTTCTTTATTTGTTTGTTTTAAGTATAATTATTTAATTATTTATTTAATTGTAATTACAGATATATTTAATTGTAATGGACGTAACTGTTTGGTCATTTGTTTAATACAGTGTTTGCGTATACTTAAGTTTAGGGTTTTAATTTATGTAATTAGGTTAGCCGACTTATAATGAGGCTAGAATTAGGATTAGGGTTTTACAGGAACCTATATATATAAGCTATATGTTTGCAAGGGTTTTAGAATCATTTTTCCCGTAACTGGAGGTAGAGAGAAAACAGAGAGGGTTTGAAATGAAAACACAGAGGGAAGCTGGGAGAACCAATTAGGCTTTCAGCTATGGACTGAAGGTGTACTATGGAGGAAGGGATGGATGGCTTGTGGGATTGAAACTAAGCAGTCGGAGGTTTACCGATAGTCGGCCGTTGTCGGAGAATTTAGAAACGACGTTGAAAAGTTTTAAACTGAAACTTAAAGGCAAGTTTCATTCTATCTCCTTTCTGTAAACTTGTGTTCTATGCATTCTAAATGGTCTCCAGGAAGTTAATTAAACATTAAAAATGGATGTGTTATGCATAATAAATCAAATTGTAATATGTTGTTTTGTTTTTGTTTAAACTATAACTGTTTTGGTTTTAAACTGTTCCGATTGTGGTTAAGCTTTTGTCAATCAATTCATAAGGAAATGTAAAGAGTTTCTAGGACTGTTTGGATTTAATTTGGACCCTAGGAAGTTTAAAATCAATAGGGACAGAGATTGGAAACTTTGTCGGAAGCGAAGAGGGTGAACGGAGGAAGCAGAAACGAAGCAGAGAAGGCTCTCAGGGAGAGAGCCGGCTCCCTAATGGAGGAAGCCGGCTCCTATGAAGAGAGAGCCAGCTCTCTATGAGGGAGAGCCGGCTCTGGAAGCTATAGAGCCGGCTCCCATGGTGGGGGAGCCGGCTCCCTTGAACAAAAACCCCTACGGGGTGTTTTCGAGGATTTTTCGCTACTTCAGGGGCTAATGGGCAATTCTGAAAGTTCATGGGGGTTCTTAAATGATGTACAGAATATGTTTAAGACCTATGATTTATTGGTTCAGGCTATGGGAATGGACAACATGAATTTTAAAAAGATTAATAGGCATACTGTCAAGGATGGGGAAAGGTTAAATTGCTAGGTTGTTTAAGCGAATTAGAATAAACCAATATGAAAATTATTTTTGGGATTCTATATATAGGATTGATATAACATATTTGAGTCCCAGGAATGTTGGTTTATATGATGCTAATGGACTTCATGAAATTAAACAAAAAATATGCATGTTGTCACGGGATATAGAAGTTTATTTGCTAATGGTTGTTTTAGCCAGTTAAACGAACTATTCGGAATGTATTTTAGGGTTAAAGTGTATGTGCTCAGTCTATACTTCTGAGTATCATTGTATCATGCTTTGGATGCATAAATGAGGATTAAATGGACATCATGAAACTTAAATAATATTTTGCATGCTGTTAAGGATTGTGGAAGGCTTAAGTTTTTAGTCTTGTTTTAGTAAATTTAATAAGACTAGTATGATTATCATTATAACATGCTGTGGATTGTAAATTGATGAACAATTATAATTTCTGTTTTGTCAATTGGATGGATATGGATAGTTAAATTGTGTAATATTACTTTAGCAATTTAAACGGAGATTCTATGATTATAATCATATACTGGATGCATGATACGATCTTATCTATATCTGATTTCTATTATGTTGGTTTCTAGATACACTTGATGTTCATCTGAGTGTGCATCATTTTTGAATATGCATTATATGCACCGGTATGGGATGGTGGCATATCGGAGATGTATTAAATCAACAAGTTAAGTCATACATCTTCATACATACGGAATGGATTAACTAAAACAGTTAAATCCTACATAGATGCATGTCCTGTCAACTAAAATAGTTGAACGACATAACGGATGTTTGTTTTACTTTTCTGTATTAGAAAGGATTTATATATATACATATGATATTATGATATGAGCTTGGGTCTCGGGATCATGGTTATGGTGCGTATATTGCAAAGGTTGAGTAACTAGAAATAGCAGGTGTTCCCCGGTAGGTCTAGGTACTTGGCCGCTGGAAAACATGCTTTACATGATACCTGCTACTCAGGCTGAACTACACTATAGGCTAGTGAGCATCCTATAGTATGTATCTATATATCTATGGACTATTTTAGT